GCTTTCTAATTACTGAGAGAGTTCAGCTGTTGTCTTGGCTTTCCATGCCTTTTTACACCTCCCTTTCTTCATGTGTTCAATTTCTGGACATTTATGGTTTGATTTCTTTATATGTATGGATCACTTGGGTTGTTACCAACATCTGGTGAAAATTTCATGTCATTAGCACCTCTAGTAATATATTTACTGAGAAAAATGTTGACGTGTTCAATACTTATTTTACCCGCTGTACTTAAATCCCTCCACTAGGTTAAGGTGGTGATTCTAAAGAGAGGTTTCCTAAATGTTTAATAAAAAAAACAAGGTAACTGGCATACCATAGTTGGTATTGATATCCCTAAGGCCATCATCTCTTGGCAGAAATGGAATACCATAATGTGAAACATGCTGTGGGTGGCACAGTGGATCAGTTGGTTGAGTGATGCCTCCCAGCAAAAATGTTGCCTGATCAAATCCCGGCCAAGAACCTTTCTGGATAGAGTTTGCATGTTCTCTCTGTGCATGTACAGTATGAGTTTACTCCAAGTACTCTGGTTTCCTCCCACACACCAAAAATGTGACTGTTAGGTTAATTGGCATCTGTGAAAATGTACCCTATTTGTGAGTTAGTGGATGATTGTCTCATTTGTCTTTATCCCTAACCCTGTGATGGACTTAAAACCTGTCCATGGTGTACCCCGCCTCTTGCACAGTGACTGCTGGATATGGGCAGCAGTGACCCCTGACTTTCAAAGGAGGAAGCAGGACTAGAAAATGTATGCATGGATGAATTTTGCTGTCAGTAGTAGGCTAATCATCCGAAAATACGAATAACTGATTTTATTTTTTCCGAATGAGTTCTTTAGGGAGGGAGATTTTTTATCCACAGAGCCGACCGTGTTCACCATTATGTTTCTAGATACATAATAGTAATGCAGGATAGTAAAACTTATAAAAATGATAAATAGGCCTGTATATCTATATTAAAGTCTATGCAAGTGTAAATTTCTACTTTTGCTGATAATCTTTTTTAGAAATAACAAACTAGGCAAACACACCATAGAACCAAACAATCTGGCCTAAGCTTATGACTTCTACTTATGGTTCACAGCCGCCTCCCACAAAGAGACAGTATGGGTATATTATACATTTCCTGAATTCTTAGAGCCCTGCGAGTATTGCAGTAATTGACTTATCTGTCCCTGATGCCCTGGGTGGCATTTATGGAGGCAAGATAAGATAAGATAAGATAAGATAAGATAAGATAAGATAAGATAAGATAAGATAAGATAAGATAAGATAAGATAAGATAAGTGGTTCGTTCTGCCGCCCTGACCACTCGGCGTAGATCCTTTCTCTCCTAGGCTGTGCAGCTAGAATACCACACAGTGATTCCCTGGGACAGGATGCCTTCAACGGTACAGCAATAAAAATTCACAAGGAGATAAATACAGGTAAAAGAGGCCTCAGCGGGCTGAAAACCCCTCAAAACCATAAAAAACATCAAACGCCGGGTGCGGTCCTGGGCTGTGGGTGGGCTTGGGGCTTGGATGGTCGCCGGGGGCGGGGCTGGCTCTCCGTCCTCCCTGGTGCTGCGTGGTCTCCTGAGGTGTGGCTCTTGGTTCCAGTGGGTGGCCCGCTGGCTGGGGTGGCTGCTGGGTTCCGGGGGGTGGGGGGTTGGGGGGGTGCACTTGGTCGCTGGCGGTGTGGTGGGGTTGTCATGGATGTGGCTTCTCTGCGGCGGGGGGCTGGCCGGGCGTCCTGGTGTGGCCCGGGCCGGGCCTTGGCTATCTGCTCCTCTCCACCTCAGAATGATTGGGTCTACCTCCTGGGTTCGGGTGTGTGCGGCCTCCATTAGGGGGTGGGTACATGTCCTGGACCTGGGGGGTATAGATTGTGTATCGGGGGTATGAGTGGAATGTGGCGTCCTTGTATGTCTTTGACTGAGTTGGGGTGAGGAAGAGGGTGGGATGGTGCGATTGTGTATGTTTGGGTATTTGTCAGGCTGCGGTCTGAGCTGCCCCTACTGCTGGTTTATCTGGAGGCCCGCTGCTGCTCGGCCCCCCGGTGGGGTGTACGGCTGGCCGCCGGCATGCTGGGGGTTCTCGGGGTCTGGGGCTGGGCGCTRGGGTGTGTGCCGGCCTGGCCTGGTGACTGCCTGTTGGGGTTCGGGGCCTCTGGGCCTGTCGGGCTTTGGCCTGGAGGGAGTGCGCCCTGGGGGCCCGGACCTCTGCGCCCTTTCCTGGATCTGCTTTGGTATGGCGGGTGCCAGTGGGGCCCATGAGTTTGTCGCTGCTGGCCCCGGGGGCTGTGCGTGTGGTCGCTGGGGGGACTCTCCCAGTTCTCTCCTATGGTCTGATCTGGGGGGTGGGTGGGCGGATCTTCCCGTGCGGGTGCCCCTTGGGGCTCTGCGCTCGGGATTCCTCTCAGGCCCTTGGACTCTGGTCTTCCCTATGTCTGCCTCGTGTCTTGGGGGTTGGGTCTCCGGTCCTCCACAGTCACTATTAAATATTCCATTGGAGAAATCTTGTATGTACACGCATGTTCACAACTGCTCACAAACAGGTGCTCTGGTCCGGGGGGTTCTGACTGGTCACTGAGTGTGTATATATGTCTATGTGTATATACAGACAATATTTATGAATGTAGGCATGTATGTATGTATATCTTTATATATGTATGGGTATGTGTATATTTTTTATATGCCTTCTATGTATTTATCCATTTATTTTTCAGGTGAGCGGACAGATGTTGGGTGTGTGGTCCTGTGTTTTGTTTGTGTATATTTAATATAATCCTAATCGCTATTTCAGTCTTTCTATCTTTCTAATTACTTCTCTCTCTGTTTTTCTCTCTCTCTATTTTGCCTTCACAAAAAAAAACAAATAAAAAATAAAATAAAATAAAAACATAATGGTGTGGAGGGGATGGCTATAAGGGGAGAAGGGAGGCCAAGAAGAAAGAAAAAAACCCATCAAACATCATGGTAAAGGGGTAAAGTAGGACCAAAAACCACTGACAATCTCCAAAAACCACCAATATCCATGTAAAGGAGGCCTAGGAGTGTTGAAAACCCATCAAAACATCTAAAAATAATCTAAATTCATGTTAAAGGGGCCTAGGGGGACCGAAAACCACTACAACCTCCAAAAACCATCAAAAACCTTGTGAGAGGGGAATAGGAGGGTCAAAAACCACTTAAAACTACCAGAAAAACATCAAAAGCATGTAAAAGGGGCCTAAGAGGATCAAGAACCACTCAAAACTTCCACAAACCATTGAACACTAAGTAAAAGTGGTCTAGAAAGCCGGAATAGCACTCGAACCTTCCAAAAACCAGTTCAAATGGGCTCAGGAGGGCTGAAAAACCCTCTAAACCACCAAAAAATCCCTTCAAAATCCAAGTAAAAAGGGCCTAGCAGGGTCAAAACACTCAAAACCTCCAAAAACTACGTAACAGAGACCACAGAGGGTTGAAAACCCCTCAAAAAACCATCTAAACAATATAAAATGGGTCTAAAAAGATCAAGAACCCCTGAAAACCACAAAAAAATCAGGTAAAAAGGGCGTAGGACGTCCCAAACCTTGGGAAACCCATCAAAGACTATGTAAGAGGGGCCTATGAGGAATGAAAATCCCTCAAAACCACCGGAAAAAAACGGCCTAGGAGGTCCAAATACCCCTCAAAACTGACAAAAACCAAGTGAAAGAGGCCTATGGAAAATTCACCCAAGACCAACTAAAACCAGGTTCAAGTGGTCTAGGAGAGCCAAAAACAATAAAAAACACCAAAAACCATGTACAAGAGGCCTAAGAGGGCCAAAGACCCCTCAAAACAAACAAAAAAACTTCAAAAACCATGTTAAAGGGATCTAGGAGTTCCAAAAACTACTCAAAACTGTGAACATCCGTTGTCTTGTCTTGTGCTCTATCCCCCTCTGCTGTTTCTCTTGTGTCTCACACACTCTTCTCAGTCCTCAGTTTATTCTGTCTCATCTAGATCTTTCTCTCAGACCTGTTTGCACTCTGTAATCCAACAGCAGGCTCCACTTTTACTCTACCAGGTTCTCTATTTAATCAGTCCTTCTCTCCTACTTCCTCATCTGTTCGTTGTTTGGTTTTCCTGGCGTCCTGATGTCAGCTCGTTCTCATCTCCCTTCTCATGAGTTTTTGCCACCACACTGGCTTTTTATTTAATAAAACCTTTTACTTTGAGCTTCCCGTGTCTATCTGAATTTTGGGTCCGAAACCTCGCCAAACCTGTTAAAAACGTCCAAAAACCAAAGAGGCCTACAAGGATGAAAACCCCTCAAAACCTCCAAAGATGATCAAAACCATGTAAAAGCAGCGTACAAGGGCAGAAAATGCTTCAAAACTATATGTTAGAGCCATTTTATGTTGCTTGTATTATTTACACTTGTGGGCACTAGAGGGAGGAAAAACGCTACCTGTCACTGTCTCCACACCCAATTTACAGTAAGTGAGGTGCATTAGTGCTCAGGTGTGATGACAATGAAAGAGGCAAACAGTTTTTGACTGTGTGAAGCGTGTGAAGCATGAGCTGTCAGTGGATGTTCACTGGAACCTAATGGAACTTTGAAATGGAGGTAATGAATGGATTATGAAAATAAACAACACACATTTTTATGAAAGATGATTGAAGAACACTCCTTTACTACGTGTCAAAACTACCTGTAAAATTGTCCCACATATGGACAGGATTTAAATGGATCAGCTGGTCCATACACAATCAAAATCCAGGTGAAAGTGGCCCAGGAGGGCCAAAAAGTCCTCAAAACCACCAAGAACCAGTTAGAAGGGGCTTAAGAAAGCCAAAAAACACTCAAAACCTCCAAAAAACATCAAAACCATGTAAAAGGGGCCTAGAAGGGCCAAAACCTACTTAAAACCACCAAAAACCATCAAAAACAAAATAAAATTAAATAAAGAACAGGAACAGATACAAAAGTGCTCCTAATGCATGGAAATGCTGCTGTTTTGCAGCTGCATTCCCTTGCTCCAAAGACTTCGACCCTATAAAAACAGACCAGATACAAAAAGGGTTCCATGCTCTGCTGAATGCATGGAAACAGCGCTGTGTTGCAGCTGCACTTCCCTTGCTCCACAGGCTTACCCTTAATGACAATCAGACCAGGAACAATAGGGCCTTCAGCTGTTTTACAGTGCTCCGGCCCTAATATTAATAATAATAATAATAATAATAATAATAATAATTAGGTCAAAAACAAAAGTGATTCACAGAGCTCGGGCCCTAATAAACCCAAAATATCACAAAATTGAGTTTTAAGGGAAGGAAATGTACTGCACATCCTGTTATTTTCTTTTCACCACATGTTGCTTGTGTGTTGTCTGTTCCTATAGTTTTTTTTTTACCTGTGTTTACTCCGGTCATCACACCCTCCTTGGTCTTGTTTCCTGTAAAAAAATCAGATATAAATCAGAGGTAATATTTTGAAAACAGAACACAGATAAAAGTGACAACCTTGTACCAGTGGATACCTAAAGGTGTGTTAGCATTAAAAGGGTGACAAAATTACACCTAAAACCCTTCGTCACTTGGTGTCATTGTCAGAACATCTTCAAGAATAGCCTTTATGCCACAGACTTACGTTCTAGCACTTCCGCTTTTTTTTGGCCACTTACAGCAATTCGGGTTCGCGGGCAACAATGTGTTAGTGTAGGCATTTGTCACTCGGTGGCTGCTGTCCACAGTACAGCATTTGCATTTTACATGTACCAGTATTAACACAGTAGATGTACAAGTTGACAAAAGTCCAGCCAAGTGGAAAAAGTTACTCTAAAGCGGATTAAACCCATAAATAAAATAAAATAAACATAGGTAAGATGTCCAGAATTAAGCCCTTTTCTCTATTCCTTGGCTGCTTGTTCTGTGGATTATTCATGTAGAGCTGTGACACTTATATTGTTGGAATGAGCAGAGTCTAGGCTTTAAACTGGTAGGCTACTTGTTTGGTTTGGATCAAGTTGCCCCGACGATGGTGCACTGAAAACGGGGAATGATTTTCAGGCGGAGGTTCTGCTGCTCTCGGTGCAGGAGGAGAGGGGCGCTCGGGTTGTGTCGACACTGTAATATACACTCTAATATGTTTTTGCTTTTGCATAAAACTCATGAAAAAGTTGCCTAATATAATTTCATACTCTTTATAACACAAACGCACACACACACAGACACACACACACACAGACACACACACGTGTGAAGAATCTAATGTTCTTGTCGGAAGCAGCAAAACAGTGAATGTCGAACAGCTGCCTCAGGATTAGTCTCTCAAACTGTTCCCGTAGCAGGTGGATTTTCTCCTGGATAATATACTGTAATTTACCTCCAGCACTAAATCCACAATTTGGAGTAGTGGCATAATTGTGATCCAAACGTCTAGTCTGTATATTGGCTGTTGTGTTAGCTTCCTCCTAGCTGTCCTCTGGACATAGTCTTTGCTCTCTTGGGTCTTGGCAGTGAAGAGGGTAATTGTACAGCTCCCTTCTTTAACCTCTGTCTTCTCATTTCTGATGCTGGCTCTTGAATATCCTCAGGTTTCAAATGCTGATTACAAATGCAAGTGTGAGCTTTTAAAGCTATGTTTTCACTGTAGATAGCCACGATCCATTGTTGTTGCCTTTACTCCTCATCAAGAGGAAAATGAAGAAAAACTAACCACTCTATGGTACCTGGTGTTTAGTGGACACAACGGCACACAACAGAACTCACATTTTAGACCAGTAACTCACAGATGCTTTAACTTTTATGGCTTTTTCATGGTCTAGTTCTAGGAGCTAATGCTAAAAACAACTTGCAGTAGGCAGGACCCGGAAGTGATGCTCGTGGCCTGAATTTTATCGGAAGTACGTCACTAATAGCCATGGCATATAGGCTACTGGGAGAATAAACACAAACATTCCAAAGAAAAACTTTGCGAAATCAAGTTTTTAGGAATGTGTTGCAGCCTGCATTTTATAAATTTGAATCACTGGCTGTGTCTCAATTCGTGGGTTGCATCCGACGTAGACCGGTCGACATCGGCTGCAGTCAACGTGGGTTGTGTCAGCTGTATAAATGGCTGTGAATTGGGACAGGTCTAGCCTACGGATCACGTATGTTTACGTGGCCACTCGCTGCGCCATTACCATAGTGATACGTTGATACGTGAAATACGTGATAGGTTTCAGAAAAAGCATGGAAAATTGAGCCAGAAATGGAGCTCATAGTTTTAATATTTTTGGCAATAATTGAGGAGATGAGTGTTTTTACTCGACGTCCTTTGTACTTTAGGCTGACAGAAGACCACAACAAGCTAAGAACTGTTAGGCTTAATTTGTTACTAAGATTAAAGAATATTAAACATTGATGTCCGTTTTTATGTTTAGTGCATTAGCTTATTTCAAAAAAGCCTTGAAATTTAAAACACATTTGTTATCAAGTAAAGTTTCAGAAAATTGTTTTTAAATTTAATTATGTATACTCATTTTAGTGAGGTTTAAATGTAGCAATTGTTAGCCCTAACCCTATTCCTAACTCTGAGAAAGTTGTATAT